TGTTTTTGTTTTTGTTTTTGTTTTTTGTTTTTGTCTGGGGAAGCCAACTGTCACTTCAGACCCAGGGAGCTGTCCTGATTCAGTGCTGACGGGACAGGAGACAGATCACCCTACTTCTGTAATGTGCTTTGTTAAGTTTTGAATAATACTGTTGTTCTTGAAAATGTGAGGCTAAACTGGGCATTGGTGGTGCATGCCTTTAATCCCAGCACTCAGGAGACAGAGGCAGGTGGATCTCTGTGAGTTCGAGGCCAGCCTGGTCTACAGAGGGAGTTCCAGGACAGCCTCCAAAACAATACAGAGAAACCCTGTCTTGAAAAACCAAAAGGAAAAAAGAAAGAAAGAAAGAAAATATGAGGCTATATTTATCACCTGTAAAGACAGGCTGTGCCTGGCTCAATGTTTGGCCAAGCTAGCAAAATGATAAGTGGTTTTGGTTTAAAGATGTTTTAAAACTGGGGCAGTGGTGGCACACACCTTTAGTACCAGCACTCGGGAGGCAGAGGCAGGTGGATTTCTGTGAGTTTGAGGCCAGGTCTACAAAAGTACACAGAGAAACCCTGATTTGAAAAATCTAAAACAACGACAACAAAAAAAGATGTTTTGATGTAAAAGTTAGGAGAAAATATATTTGACATTGGAGGATGGGAAAAACTTGTTTGTTAGCATGGAAAAACATGCTTGTTTTGATGTATAAATAAAGATGGCTGGAGCTTTTCCGGGGCCAGCCTCGTGTGTGAAACTCATCTGGTGGTCTGACATTTCATTTCTTCTTGCCAACGCCCCTCCCTGTCTCAGGCCCTGAACCCAGGCTGCAGTGGGAGCACAGCACTTGCTGATTGGCTGTTTGTCTGTAACAGGATCTCTGGAGCCCAGGCTGGTCTTGAACTTCTTGCCTCCTGCTGGCCATCAGTCACACTGTATCATAGCCAGCTTTTGTTTTTGTTTTATTTGTTTTTGGAAAGCAAAGTGGAATTGTATGCCTAACTACAATCAGAAGAGCATATTTTTCTTTCTTTAGTAATGAAGTGTATCTATTGCATACATACATTAACTTACTAGAAGTTATAAATGTAGGTATTATGATTGTTACAGTATCTTTATTATTTATTTATTTTTGAGATACTATCTCAAAAATAGTTATTTTTAACATATAGTAATACTTACATTTGCCAGAGATCTATTTCTGTGTTTAGTAGCCTAGAGCTGCCTGAACCCTTCTGCCTCCATGCACTGGGGTTAAAGGTGTGTGCCTCCATGCAGTGCGTCATCTTCATCTATTTCTAGAAATTTCCCATTATTTTAAAATATGGTTTCCATAAGAAAAGCACAGTAAAGCTGGACATGGTGGCTCACACCTGGCATTCAAGCCTGTGGGAGGTGGAGGCAGGAGGATCATCCTAGGCTACATTTTGAGTAGGAAGCTAACCTTTGAAACTTTGTTTTCAAAAACAAAAACAAAAAATCAAACAGGGCAGGTGCGACAGTTCAGGAGACATAGGTGCTTGCCACCAAGCCCTGACAACTTTTGTTGGATGACCACACAATGGTCCTGCAAGTTATCCTGTGACTTCTTCTCCTGTGCACATATAACTGTTTCCTCTACCCACAAATATGAAAATATAACTAAATGTAACAAAAAATTTAAAAAAACAAAAACAAAAAGTCTACTTCATTCTTTCCATTTACAAGCAGTTTTCAAAATGGACTGATACAATTCCTTTCTCCAGTAACGAGCAATCACTTTTAAGTATAATTGTGAATTTAGGTTTGGTGTGTTTCAATCCAATACATACTGAAAACAGGCTTTCTTTTGGGCCACCAACCAGCTCCCAAATCAAGACAGGGAGAAGTGCTCAGCCTTATCTTAGACTTGTCCCACTAGCTCTTATAACTTAATCTGTTTCTCTTCAACTGTGTTTTGCTTTGGGGCTTTTTACCTTTCTTTCATTCCGTACGTCCTACTCTGTCTCTGGCTGACTGACATCGGCCCGCCTGGCTGGCTCCAGGCATCTCTCCATCTTTCTCCCTTGTTCTCCTCTCTCCCTTTTCTCTGGAGCCTAGATTGCTTCCCTACTTATTCTCTCCACCCACCAGCCCTGCCTATTTCTCTACTACCTAGTTATGGGCTGTTCAGTTTCTTATTAGACCAATCAGGTGCCTTAGGCAGGCAAGGTGAAACAGCAACACATCTTTACGTAATTAAACAAATATAAGCAAATGTCATACATCTTTACATAGTTAAGTAATATTCCACAACAACATACAGTATCCCTTTTGATAGTTGATCTGTTCTGTCTTTGACAAGTGGCAACTACCATATTTTAGCTGCCTTCTATTCCCTTTGATACATTTTTTGTTTGTTTGCTTGAGACAGGATTTCACTATGTAGCCCTGGCTGTCCTGGAACTCCTTATGCAAACCAGGTTGGCCTCAAACTTGGAGAGATTCATCAGCCTCTGCTTCCTGAGTGCTGAGAATAAAGGTGTGTGCCACATACCCAGGATGATACAAATATTTTAAAGCTTTCTTGCTTATCTTGGATAATTCCTGGCCCCAAATGGGGATGAGCTGTTTCTCCAAAGCATCCTGGTTTGTTTCTTTCTATCTTCCTTTTTTGGCTTTTGTTTTGATTTTCTAGTCAGACTTTCTCTGTGTAACAACCCTAGCTGTCCTGGAACTTGCTCTGTAGACCAGGCTGTTCTCAAACTCACAGAGATCCATCTGACTCTGCCTCTCAAGTGCTGGGATTAAAGGCATGTGCAACCACCACCCGGCACCTTTATTGATTTATCAAGACAGGGTTTTTGCACTTATTTTTGGTTTTTGAGTATATTGTAATACAAATTATTTTTTTCTGGTTTTTCAAGACAGGGTTTCTCTGTATTGTTTCAGAGACTGTCCTGGAACTCGCTCTGTAGACCAGGCTGGCCTCGAACTCACAGAGATCCTTCTGCCTCTCCCGAGTGCTGGGATTAAAGGCGTGCACCACCAACGCCCAGCTTTGTAGCACAAATTCTAATTAGTATTAATAATAAAAACCCAGAGACAGATATCGGGGTTAAAGCTGAAGATCAGAGAAGCAAAGCGACAGCCATTAGAGAGTTCTCACCTGTACCAATGCGCAGACTGAAAGGGCGATGCTGTCCTCAGACTGCATCTCCAGACTGCATCTGTCTCCTCCAAACCTCAGACTGCACTGAGCTCCTGACTTATATTCCCCTCTCCTACCAGCCATATCACTCTAGTCTCCACCTCCATAATGATGGGAATAAAGGTGTGTGATCCCAAGTGCTGGATCTCTGTGAGTTTGAGACCAGCCTGGTCTACAGAGCAAGTTCCAGGACAGCTAGGGCTGTTACACAGAGAAACTCTGTGTGAGCTCTATTTCTCTTCTAGACAGATTCAATCTTGTGTAGCCCAGGGTGGCCTTGAACTAACAGAGATCCCTCTGCCTCTGTCTCTAGAGTCCTGGGATTAAAGGTGTGTACCACCATTGCCTGGCCTCTATGGCTAAATAGTGTGGCTAGCTTTGCACTCTGATCTTCAGGCAAGCTTTATTTGTTAGATCATAAACGAATATCACCACAGTAAATGCCACTTTGCATATTATAGACAAATTATTATGTCTTAAAGTCACCTGATTAGTTTAGCTGGGGGGCCTTTCATAGAATAAAAGTTCTTGTGATGTACACTTGTGAGATGGCTCAGCAGATAGAGACACCTGCTGCCAAACCCAACATTCAGTCGCTAGGACCCATGTAATGGGAGGAGAGCTGACTCCTCTAAGTTGTTTTCTGACATCCACATGGGTGTACACACACACACACACACACACACACACACACACACACACACACACGGTGCTAAATCATGTAAACATTTATGGTATAGTCTTGTGTAGTTGAAAAAACTAAATTTATTGTTTTATAAATATGCCTGCATGTTCCCCACACCTTCTGCTTTGTAGACTGTATGCTTATAGTAGTATCTGGACCTGTAGACTGACTGAATTGGGTGTAGAGCTGACAGGGCCAGAGGCTTTGGTGACACAATTTGTGAGCAGTCCTGTGCTGCTTTCCCTTGGCGAGTAATGAGGGGTGGTGACCCCAGAAATGCCAACAGGTGCAAAAACAGGACACGAATCAATTCCTTGCTTCTAATAATATCTTCAGGAAGTCAGAATCTTTCTACAGAAGTATATTCTTGACTCTTCTTTCCCCATCCCCCCCACCATGGATCAGTAGTCTTCAAAAGTTTCTCCTCCAATTCCTCGCCTTTGCCTCTGTTATTGTCCCCCGACTCCCTGCTTTGCCTCTGTTATTGTCCCCCTACACCCCCCACACACCCCAGAAGCTTAGGATTTTTGTGGGTATTGATGAGGGGGAGGGAGGACGGATTGTTGCATAAACTAGCATCATGGAAACGGTGGAGATGGCGTAGACAGCTGCAGAGATCCCTGCTGGAGAGACAAAATAAACCCTCCTCCCAAACAATTGTGCTCTCAGATTTCTCCTCCGGACAGCTGAGCCTTTCAGCTCCCGCGATACTTGGCAGAGACAGGGAGGGACCCTGAATGAGGCTTGCTGTTCATCCTCAAAGCCAGACACCTCCACATACCACCCACAGCAACTCAATGGGATACTCAGTATAGAAAGGACAGGGACAATACCAAAGGCAGTCAACAACTCCCTGCCATTCCTAAAGGCCAGGAGCGCATTACTGAGGATGCAGGAGGAGCAGAGCCACGGCTAAAGGAGATAATACGAGTTGGCTATCTGACTTGGCTGTCATGTTTCTTTACGCTCCCCCTCACTTGGTACCCAACATCCTATACTTCATCCATTCTGCTTCTCGTCCTCGCTGCCTTCACTCCCACACCCTACTGTCACCAAGGTTCCTGGAATTTTGGACTTAGCTATTTTTAAAACTGTCAACTCAGTGGCCACCTCCCTCCTCCTCTCAGCTGTTGAGTCCTTGGACCAGCCTTACCCGCTCCCTTCCCCCTCTCTCCACACCAAACCTTCTCTGGCTCTCTGACCTCAGTGAGATTACAGCCAGTCTGGGGACCCAGGAGAGACATGGAGAAAGAGATGGGGGACCCCTGGCTGGAACAGACCAACAGATTAGGCAACTATGGCTGGAGAATCCGGTATCAGAGTAATGTTTGACCTCGGGAAACAGTAAGTCCAGACGAAATTGCAATTGCTTTGATAAGCTTTGGGTTGAGGCTAGAATTTCATGAAAGTACAGACATCTGTTCTGAAAACTCAGATTTCTCCTTACCCCATCGCCACTCCTCCTGCCTCATTGTTGTGGTCTCCAAGCCATGTCTGCTTGGGGTTTAATGCTGCCTCTCCCCCGCTCCTCTCATTTCCCTCTGCATTTTATCACACTGAGACTTTGGAGTGGGGGTGGGGATAGTGCTGGGGACTGAACCCTTGAGCATGGTAAACACTCACCTACTACTGAGTTACACTCCCAGCCCCTAACTGAAGGCCTCTCAGACCTCCTGCAGGACTCTTGCCCAATTATAGACTTACTCCAAAGAGAGGAGTTTGACAGCAGAAAGGGAGACAAACCCTCCCCAATACCTGTCCTCCCTAAAAGACCAGGAACTTCTGGATTTGCAAAGGTGGGGAGGGGGTACACTCTTCAGGTCTGGAAAAACACATGGGCTGTTGACCAGGAAAAATAATACTAATTTGAATGCTTGGTTTGTATCCTATGCGGTGAGAGAGGGATCGTAATGTCAGCCCTCTAGGGTGGCCAAGAGACTGGTTTCCTTTTCACTGGAAAAGCGACATTCTAGAAGTCACTTGCCTACAATATTTATCCTTTGTGCCCTTCTAACACAATGAAGAAAAAGAAATGGCAGATGGTTGGCCTCTCGTGGTTGGTAGTAACACATAAGAGGTGTGTTTTTAAAGCAGTTTCAGGGGAACCCGCTAAGATGATCCGGAACTTACTTCCCCCAGGAATCCCTATATTTCTGACACTATTTGGTAGTCAGGATGGGGCAATACTGTGGACTCTGCCCACTGAGGTCATTCAACCTTCCCTCCACCCCCACCTAGGGGTATTGCACAAGGGATCTGAAGGTGGCCACAGGAGCGGGGCACAGAGGCTCACCAGCCGCGCTCCCCATCTGGAAGCCTCCTGCTTCCCAAACTCCAGTCTGTATAGTTCTTGTCTCCATCTCCCCAGATTCTCTCCACGCCATCTTGACCCGTCTTCAACCTTTCTCTTTCCCCACACCCAGCCAAATTTCTTTTTCCAGTCACAGAACTGCCTGTCGAAATTCACTAAGTAGGAGGTTCATCAGCTGGGAAGAACCCGCGCCTGGGGGAATCTGGCTGGATAGGTATGGGGGATCTTAGTCCCTGGCCCCCCCATGGCGGTCCCCCAACTCTAAGCATCCTCACTCTACTGCTGCTCCTCTGTGGACAGGGTAAGGAAGGGTTAGGGAAGGGTTGGGCACATCTAGAGGTTAGGCTGCCGGGTAGGGGTGGGCAGGCGAGCATCAGTGAGTGAGGGCGAAGGGGTGCTGATCCCAGTCACTTGCCAACTCTGTAAGAGGCCTGTCTTGTTTCCCGTTTAACTGGAGGAAGGACATATATGGAGTCCTTGGACCCTAGGGAAAAGAGGTCCGATTGGATTACACGCTTTTTAGTAGAGAAAAAGAGGGAAGGGGGCAAGGAGTCGGGCTGAAGGTTGGGGCTGAAAAAGCGCCCACGCTGAGTGGCAGGAATGGCTGGGATGAAGGATGCCTTTTGGCAATTAGGCGCGTACTGGACTTGGCTAGAACCTACATCTGGGCACAGTCTCACTGTCCTCTCCCTTCTATCCTCAGTTCACTCCCAGTGCAAGATCCTACGCTGCAATGCCGAGTACGTCTCGTCCACTCTGAGCCTTCGGGAAGGGGGCTCTCCGGGCTCGCCGCGTGGAGGCGGCCGTGGTGGGCTGGCCTCAGGTGGCTTGTGTCGCGCCCTGCGCTCCTATGCGCTCTGCACTCGGCGCACAGCCCGCACGTGCCGCGGGGACCTCGCCTTCCACTCTGCGGTGCACGGCATCGAGGACCTGATGATCCAACACAACTGCTCTCGCCAGGGCCCCACGGCCCCGCCCCCGGCCCGGGGCCCCGCCCTTCCCGGAGCTGGCCCAGCACCCCCGACCCCAGACCCCTGTGACTACGAGGCCCGGTTTTCCCGGCTGCATGGTCGGGCCCCGGGCTTCTTGCATTGCGCCTCCTTCGGGGATCCCCATGTGCGTAGCTTCCACCACCACTTTCACACGTGCCGAGTCCAAGGAGCTTGGCCCCTGCTGGATAACGACTTCCTTTTTGTTCAGGCCACCAGCTCCCCCGTGGCATCGGGGGCCAACGCTACCACCATCCGGAAGGTCAGGGAATCAATTTTCCTCCTAATCCGCCTTCTGAAGTCCTCTCCGGGTCCACCCGACACACCTCTCCTAGTTCTCTCTCTTCCTCCGCCACCCAGTTTCTGGTTCTTTGTCTTCCCTAAATAGTCCCTCCCATCTTGAATGGCTTCCTCCTATCAAACATTGCTCCTGTAAATCAATTCCTCTTGATGGGGACTTTATTCAAATGCAGGTAACCCAGAGGAAGAAGCCGGGGTGGCACCCAGAGCTACAAGAACTGAGGAGTCAGAAGGGACACTTTATTTCCTTGGGAGTCGCTGTGATTGAGAAAAACAAAAGACCAAGGGGTTGAATAGGGCTCGGGTGCTATTGGAAGGTCGTAGGGGATGGGATCAAGGACACTGTGCATCTGCTGGGATCAGATCCCTGACAATATATGCTGCTTGACTGGGGGGGGGTGCATTGAGTCCTAACGAACTATTTTCCTCTTTGCCCGCACAGATCACCATCATATTTAAGAACATGCAGGAATGCATTGACCAGAAAGTCTACCAGGCCGAGGTGGACAATCTTCCTGCAGCCTTTGAAGACGGTTCTGTCAATGGAGGCGACCGACCTGGGGGCTCGAGTTTGTTCATTCAAACTGCTAGCCCTGGGAGCCATGTGGAGATCCGAGCAGCCTATATTGGGACAACTATAATCATTCGACAGACAGCTGGGCAGCTCTCCTTCTCCATCAGGGTAGCTGAGGATGTGGCGCGGGCCTTCTCCGCGGAGCAGGACCTACAGCTGTGTGTTGGCGGCTGCCCTCCGAGTCAGCGACTGTCCCGCTCAGAGCGCAGCCGCCGTGGGGCTATAGCCTTCGATACTGCCAGAAGGCTGTGTAAGGAAGGGCTTCCGGTGGAAGACGCCTACTTCCAGTCTTGCGTCTTTGACGTTTCAGTCTCTGGCGACCCCAACTTTACGGTGGCAGCTCAGACAGCTCTGGACGATGCCCGAGTCTTCCTGCCGGATTTAGAGAAATTGCATCTTTTCCCCGCAGATGCAGGGCCTCCTCTCTCCCCAGCAACCTTCCTAGTCCCACTCTTTTCGGGCCTCTTTGTTCTATGGCTTCTGTAAGTAGGCCAGCAACCCCGTGACTAGTCTGGAACCGATTTGAGGGTAGAGCTTGGCGTGAGAAAACACTAAGATGTGCCAGAGGAAACAGTGGGGACAGGGAGATACAGGAGACAAAGACACTCACCTAGAATCAGATGGGGCCCCGCAGTCAGAGCTGCCATGATCCCAGAATAAGAATTCTGGGCCATGGTTTTGCATTCCGGACCGTGGTAGGAGCTCGTCACCATGAACTTCCCCGGCCTTACATACATCTGAAGTCACTCCTACAAACCTAGATTGTAAGAGTGCTGGTAATCAGCAAAACACTCAAGGGTTGGGATCTCTTAAAGGCAGTAACTAAAAGTAGGAAGATGAGATTGTCTTTAAGAGAGTCCAAAGAGAAGAAAATAATTAAGGAGAGCTTTTGGATTCAGAAATTAAGCGGGCATTGTGTAGCTCTAGGACAAAGGAAGTCAACTTTTGGAGACTAGTACCAGTACAGAAACTGGCATCCCCACCCCCTACCAATCTGTTATTAAAGCTATGAATTCTCCACACTGACCTCTGTCACCTGTGTTGAATCCCTTTACGGATGTGTGACCTGGGGTTGAGACAATGAAAGAAGTCTCAGAGTTACCAGCTATCCTACCCACACTTTTGGAGCCCACGGATTATTAGACAAAACTGCTTCACAGGAGGGAATCATGAGTATTATTATTATTTATTATCATTTGCTTTTTATTTTCAGTGGAACCTCATGTAGCCCAGGCTACCCTTGAACTGCTGGTCTGACTGTCTCTACTGTTTTTTTTTTTTGTTGTTGTTGTTGATATCTTCCTCCTTTAGACACCAACCAAAGTCTTGGTTTTACCAAGAACACCCTGGGGAACTGATGGATTTGTAAGGCTTGCCTACAGAGGTTACCTGGGGCATTCAGGACAGATTTAGAGCTGCTGTATTGATTGGGAATTCTACCTAGTATTGGTTTTTGTTTTTGTTTTTTGTTTTTTTTTTTGTTTTCCGAGACAGGGTTTCTCTGTGGCTTTGGAGGCTGTCCTGGAACTCACTTTGTAGACCAGGCTGGCCTCGAACTCACAGAGATCCGCCTGCCTCTGTCTCCTGAGTGCTGGGATTAAAGGCGTGTGCCACCACTGCCCGGCGGCCAGCTCTTTCTTAATTATTAACCCATAACTTCTAATCTACATATTTCTACATGGCCCTATTTTACCGGAGAATACCTGGCGAGTCCTATCCTTCGGGAACCTCCATGGTGACTCTCTCGTTTCCTCTCTGCCCTCCTTCCCCAGAATTCTCCTTTCTCCTAGCGCCACCTATCTCCCTGCCTCCATTGGCCAAACAGTGTTTCATCAACCAACAAGAGCAGCACTTACACAGGAGGACGTCCCCCTTCACTCTGGCCTCTGAGGGGAGAGCGCACAAGCCGTGCACAGTCAGGCACGCAGACAAAACACCCATAACATAAAATAAAGCATAAAACCTGTAAAGGTGAAAAACTAGATTAAAAATAAAGAAAAGGTGGTGACCTAGTGAGAAAGTTACCTGACAACAGCCTCTGGCTTCCACAAGTGAGGAGAGACGGGCAGATCTCTAGAGCTTTGGAGCCAGCCTGGTCTACATAGTAAGTTCCAGGTCAGTCCAAGCTGTACGTGAGACCCTGTCTAAAACAAACAAAAAAACAAAAAAACACTACAAGCTCAATATTTTATTAAAAGTCTGACTATTCTAAGTATGGTCAAGATGTTCCAGATTTGGTCGGAATGTAAAGTGATGAACTACTTTGTAGAAGAAAAAAAAAATCCACTTTGTCAGGTTTTGGGAGATTTCCAGTGGGGAAGGGTGCATTTGTTGGCTGGAGGCTAATCTGATGGTCCTTTCCCCAGGAGCTGTCCATCCTGCTTTGTTTTGTCTTTGCTTTAGTTTTGAGACAGGACAGCCTCACTCACCGGCCTAGAGCTCACCGAGTACCAGGCTGGCTGACCCCAGGGAGATCTGCCTGTTTCTGTCTTCCTATCATGTGGTTACAAATTGCACCAAATTCAGTTTTTAGAACAAATGTTTGTTTATTTAATGGGAAGGGCCACGTGTGTCAGCATATGTCACAGCCCACACACGGAGGTCAAAGAACAGGGTGGAGACCGTCCTGACCTCCATCGTGTGGACTCTGGGGATCAAAGTGAGGTCATCAAGTGTTATGAGAAGCTATTTCCTTGAGTGAAGCCGTCCCGCCAGCCTGGTTCCAGAGCCACATTAGTCCCAAATAAACACACAGGAGGCTATATTAATTATGAAGCTGTTGGCCTTGCTTGTCTCTTACTGGCTAGCTCTGCCTTAAGTAATTACCCCATAATTGTTAATCTAAGTATGTCTCTTACCGGAGAATAGTTCCCGGCTTCCTTCCCCATGGCGTCACATCTCGAACTCTCTTGTGTTTCTCCTACCCAGAATCCTCCTGGATTCCTAGCCCCACCTATCTAGATTCCTATTGGCCAGCAGTACTTTATTGACAAATGCACAGGCATATAACAGGACTTCCCCAACAATCAAGTTTGCTGTCAAGTGCCCTTACTGAGCTATTGCAAACCCCCCACCTATTCTTTGAAATTCAATTTTTTATTTCTATCCAGCTTTTTTGTTTTGTTTTGTCTTGAGACAGGGTCTCTATGTAGACCAGGCTGGCCTCGAACTCACAGAGACCCACTTATCTCTGATGCCCAAGTAGTGGGATTAAATGTGTGTGATACCTAGTGCCCTGCTTTTTGTTGCTGTTTGTTTTTCGCTTGTTTGTTTTTGTCTGTTTTGTCAACTTGACACAAGCTAGAATTATCTGGGGAAAGGAACTTCAATTGAGAAAATGCCTCCTACAACCTGTACACAGGCCTGTAGAGCATTTTCTTTCTTTCTTTCTTTCTTTCTTTCTTTCTTTCTTTCTTTCTTTCTTTCTTTCTGTTGTTTGTTTTTCAAGACAGGGTTTCTCTGTATTGTTTTGGAAGCTGTCCTGGAACTCACAGGATCCGCCTGCCTCTGCCTCGGAGTGCTGGGATTAAAGGTGTGCGCCACCAACATGGGCTATAGAGCATTTTCTTGATAAATGATTAATGTGGGGTACCACACCTGGGCTGTAGTCCTGAGTTAAATAAGAAATCAGCTGAGCAAACCACGCATGAAATCAGCTCCAGCCTCCAGGTCCCTCCCTGAGTCGGTGCTCTGACTTCTCTCAGTGACAGGGTGTGATCTGGACAAACCCTTTCCTTCCTAAGTTGTTCTTTGATTATGGTGTTTATCACAACCACAGATACACTGCAGATCCTACTCAGCCTTTTAAAAGATCCATTTCTGTTATTTTTAATTGTGTGTGTGTGTGTGTGTGTGTGATCCTGAGTCTGCAGATGTGTGCATGCAAATGCAGGGTTAGTTGGATCGCCCTGGACTGGAGTTACAGGCAATGATGAGTTTCTTGACATGGCACTGGGGATTGAACTGTCCTCTGGAAAATCTGAATGTGCTCCCTGCCCAGGCTTTGGTTTTTAGATTTCCTCATTTTTATTATATGTGTGTGAGTGTTTTGCCTGCTTGTATGTCTGTGTGCCAGATCCCCTGGAGCTGAAGTTATGGATGTTTGTGAGCCGCCCTTGTGGGTGCTAGAAACCAAACCTGAGAACTTCCTCTAATTCTCCTGTGGGCAGAAAGATGCCCACTAAGGTCCATCTCTTACACATCCCCCTCTTCAACACTGCCACAGTAAAGACCTTCAACATTCAAAAGACAAACCACATCAAAGCCAGGGCAGAGAGTCGGGCCAGCCGTTCTGGAGGCTGAAGCAGAGGATCTCAAGGTCCAAGGTCAACCTGGACAACTTAGACTCAATAATTCAATTAATTCAACATGGCCTGGTCAGCTGGCGTGAGTCTATAATCCCAGCACTTGAGAGGATCATTTGTTCATTGACAGCTGGACTACAGAGAGACATCGGATGTGAGAGTACTATTGCTATTTTCTTCCATGTATATAAAAACAGAAGATGCAAGCTGACATGTAGTTAGAGAAGATCAGTGGATGCTTGGAGATGACCAAAGAGAAGGAAGGAAGGGGGAAAGAAGATATTGATATCATAATAATTTCATGAACATGTATATGTACATACCTACTTTTTTGTTGTCTTTGTTTTGTTTTTTTGAGACATGGTCTCAATATATAGTTCTGACTGTTCTGGGACTCTGTAAACCAGGCTGATCGTGAACTCAGAGATCGTACCTGGCTGTTGAACATACATATTAAAACTCATAAAGTTGGCCCGGCGTTGGTGGCGCACACCTTTAATCCCAGCACTCGGGAGGCAGAGGCAGGCGGATCTCTGTGAGTTCGAGGCCAGCCTGGTCTACAGAGCGAGTTCCAGGACAGCCTCCAAAGCCACAGAGAAACCCTGTCTCGAAAAAACCAAAAAAAAACAAAACTCATAAAGTTATATCCTTTGGATGTGTGAAACTTATCATAAGTCAAGCACACCTAAATAAAGTTGGAATTCAAAAGGGGGAGGTGCTTGGCATGGTGGCTTACTCCAGCACTCAGGGCTACACAGAGAAACCAAGTCTCAAAAAACAACTAAAGCCCAAACAAATAAAAAGGTAGTCCACATTTTCCTCTTCCCCGGGCAAATGCGATGAGAAGCATACATATTTAACCCTGTGAGTAGTTCCTGCGGTCCACAGGTCAACAGGTGGCACTCATGACTAAAAGTTACTCAAAGATGACTCAAGCAATTCTTCAGAGGGAGGAAAACCAATTTTTTTTTCTTTTTGTTTTTCAAGACTGGATTTCTCTGTGTAGCCCTGGCTGAAGTAGAACTCACCTGATTGCTTCTTGAGTGCTGTGAGGGAAATCAATTTCTTTTTCTTTTCTTCAAGACAGGGTTTCTCTGTGTAACAGCTCTGGCTGTCCTGGAACTCACTCTGTAGACCAGGATGACCTTGAAAGAGATTTGCCTGCCTCTGCCTTCCCAGTGGGAAATCAATTTCTTTTTTTAAATAATTTATTCTTATTTTATATACATTGGTGTTTTGCCTACATGTATGTCTGTGTGAGAGTGTCAGATCTTAGAGTTACAGACAGTTGTTAGATGCCATGTGGGTGCTGGGAATTGAACCGGAGTCCTCTGAAAGAGCAGTCACTGCTCTTAACCACTGAGCCAGCTCTCCAACCCTGGGAAGTCAATTTCTAAAGAGCGTCTGAGGCCCCACCCCACCCCAGCAATACAGGCTGATGTCATTGCTCTTGGTTGCACAACATAACTAGGTTTCAAGATCCTACTCCGGAGGACATCACGAGTTTCAGTTGCAGAGAGCATAGAGAAATCAGTCTTGCCAAGTCCTGCTTCAGCAGGGTTCATGTCTCAAAGAAGATGGAAGGGACGAATGCACATCCGAAAGTCCAGCAGCAGCTCCCTCTCCCTCTCCCTCTCTCTCTTTCTCTCTCTCTCTCCCTCTCCCCCTCCCCCCTCTCTCTCCCTCCCTCCCTCCCTCCCTCCCTCCCTCCCTCCCTCCCTCTCTCTCTCTCTCTCTCTCTCTCTCTCTCTCTCTCTCTCTCTCTCTCTCGTGACTCTACTTTCATAGCACACTGACTACACCGGTCACTGACAAGCATCAAAGCCCCGGATCTCTTTTTCACTTCCCCATTAAATGTCCAGGGTGAAAAAAGCCGATTACAAAACAGACAGCCTTATCTGCAACATCATCCTTGGACAGTGTCAAATCAGGAAGTTACAAATTTCCCGGGGTCTGCAAAGCCTAGGACCCTCTCTTTTCACACACTGTGTCTTGGCTGGCTGCTCAAGGTTACAATATGTTAGACAGTCTGATATTACTTTTACCTTAACCAAGTTATGTGTAGAATCATTTGATGTTTTCTAAAATGCAAGCTTTACAAGATAACTCACAATAAGTATTTAATTGGCTGATTATGGCATTTTTCCATTCCTCAGTTTTAGCAGTTTTCATATGCTTCCAGAAAGGCTGATTCTGGTATCTCATTCTTTTTCCATCAGCCCACACTATTCCTTTTTTTTTTTTTTTTTTTTTTTTTTTTTTTAGACAGGGTTTCTCTGTATTGCTTTGGAGGCTGTCCTGGAACTCGCTCTGTAGACTGGGCTGGCCTTGAACTCACAGAGATCCACCTGCCTCTGCCTCCAGAGTGCTGGGATTAAAAACTTGCATCAACAATGCCCGACAGCCCACACTATTCCTATTCCCTCTATATAGGCTCCAGTATAGGGCACTAGATATACTTGTGACATTCTTGTATTCAGAGCTGAGCAAGAAATTTCTCAGAATCTACCCTATTGGTACCACAATCCTTGGGGCACAAGGAAGACTTTCCCTACTGTGACGTTCATTTCACGCTATAACCCCCCACCCCCCATCTTCAAAGTTTCCCTTGGCAACAACATGAATCTACTCCCCCTGGGGCTGTATTAGCAGAAAACTCACCTTATGCCAACAACTGTTCCTAAAAGTGAGGGCAAAAGCCAGCACGCCAGCTACTGAGTCCCTTGGCGAAGTTTCACTGGAACTTTGTCAAGCAGCACACCCCCACACTCCTCAGGACTCAAGCTATCCCTTGTGCTATGGCCTGCGTCACAACCTGCAGCTGACCAGGAAATTTCTAGCTCTGATGGTGCCAGAGGGTGCTAGGCAGGTCACTCTGGAAGAAAAGACGTTACTCTGTATCTACAACATTGATACAACAGCGGCATGGCTGCTTGGGGGTAACCAACAGCTTTCTGCTTGGATTTGAAGGCTGCTCCTCAGGAGGAGCTCATGACTGACGTGGCAGTCATTTCATGGAGACACATTTTTTTTCTCATGAAGCTATACCCTGTAAATATGTGCTCTTCATTGTACATTGAGTATTCTGAAATAAAGCTGTCATTTTTAAAAAGTGGTCTACTAAAAAAAAAATACTTCTTAGCCCTGTCAAACATCCATTGATTTCCTGCCTTAAACTATGTATCAGTTTGAATCTTTTGGTTTTATATACACAACAGAAAACAGTATTTTCCTTCATTCTATTTCTTTCTTTCTTTCTGAGACAAGATGTCTCTGTGTAGCAGAGCTGTAAACCTGGTGGAAAAACTTGGAGCTGGGAGGTCCTAGAGGGAACTTGTAGCTGTTGGCTGATGGATAATGCTGTCAAACTGCCTTCTAATAGTTACCGCAGATCTGTGCACTCGCAGGCTCCCCATGCTTCAGTGGATGGCCACAGGCCCATGTGTGTATAGACAGCACTAATCAACTCATGGGTTATTGGAGAAAAAAAACAGTCATAAAGCTGTGTGTGTGTGTGTGTGTGTGTGTGTTGAGGGTTGGGAGTTGGAGGGAGGGAGTGCAAGGATGAATGTCATCTAAAAAAATTAATACACACATTATATTCTCAAAGAA